TTGTAGTTGTAACCCCGGTCTACTAAGAGTTAGAATAATAGTATGTCCTAAAAAGTTACCTGCTAAACTAAAATATACAAGTGCCATTTGTTCTATGCGCAGTAAATGATATTATCTATGCATCCTGTTGAAAGCTTGCGAACATATCAGAAAAGATCTAATCTATAGATCAACCTAAACTAATAAGCAATGAGATCTGGAGTGTATGGTTAGTGTCTCGGCCAAAGGATAAATCTGACTAGCGATACCTGAGCTCGAAAATGGCACAGATGAAAAAGGGTCTACGGACTATAGAAGGAGGGGCTGAGAGAATATTTGATGCTGAATCACTGTAACTTAATCAGCATAAAGGAACCCAATTTGGAGTAAAATGAGGGTAATTAGGGATCTATTTCTGGGAGAGAAGATAGACGCATGCATGAAAATTATTGGGTTCAAACAAGAACTATGACGACAACAATGCTACTAAAGACAGCCTTCTTGCTTTACACACAAACTACTCAAGATGTAAACCCTTTTCTCCCCTCATGATGGGCGCCGTTTACCAAAACCCGCATGAATGAGAATTTATCTTTTACTTTCCCTTAGCCAAAAGGAGCCTGATTAAGCTAAAGATAATTATAACATTGTTTTCATCAGCAATAGGCCAAAGGGCTTTCTGGTGTGTTCGGACGGACGGATTGTCGGGTTGTCTGGTAGGGAATTTTGTGGTGCGGCCCGAAGTGCATATTATAGGAAACCGGTCACCCGGGCCAGGGAGCTCAATAATAATTAGAAGTAAGAAGAAGCTTTCAGAAGTGAATGCGGGCTTTGTATCAAGGGGTACAAAAAACCTTATGGCAATAACTAGCTCTTTATGTAGTCAAAATACCTGATGGACCACAGACCTGCAGGCCTCACGGTACAGGAAGCCGGAAAGATTGATTCGAGCTTCACGGTTGGAGAACAAAAGCATCTGTCCACTCGATTGCTTGAGTTTCAGGACAGAAGTTGCGATGGCCAAGAGCTGCCAGCTCCCGCCCTGACGAGTTGTCGGGTGGCTGCGTCAACATGCTTGGCCTCAAAAGGGACTTTATTATAACTTCGAAGTGTGTGTGTGTGTGCCTCAATGATCTTAGTACCTTCCGTCACAAAGAGAAGGGGGATAAATGTGGTAGGAGAGGCCGTATTTCAATCATCTGACCCCCATCTAGTGAAGGGTACATTTAATGTCAGGATGGGTCTTAAATTATAAAGACTGACTGACACCATTAAATTCTAGCACACTCGATTCTGCAGACAGTGGCATAAGTTCAGCAAATACTTACGTTAAGCCGCAGATTCTATAGACAAGAAGCTGGGCAGACATGTGGCAAAAATGCAGTCTGTGACAGTTTGCATCACGCGCTTTCTTTTTACTGTGAATATTCGCCCTATTTACCTTTCTATGTGTCTGAGTCAGCACAAAGTTTCAGCAAAGACTGAACATTTTCTCTCTTTCAAATACCCTTGCTTCTCCTCTTTGACGAAATGACCAGCGGTCCCACAATTTAGCATTGAAATAAGCTATAAATTTCCAACCTTTTAAATGAATCGGCCGCCTGAATGTATGTAAGCTTAAAGACAAGAATATTATTATTTTATTCTACGACAAATGACTTCATTAGCTCAAGTAATAAGTGGTTTGCCTAAGCACTGAATTATATATGCATTAAAATACCGAATAATGCATTAGTTTATGGAATTTGACTGCAGTCAGTGAAAGCTTCATTTAGCAT